GTAACTCTGATTTTCAAATAAATAAATCTGTAAAAAAATGTGGCTTGTTTAGCTCAAGGACAGAAGGTGATCCATCTATGTTCATGCTATTGGCAATGATTATAAAGTATTTTAGAGCAATGAAAATTTTAACTGTTATAAAATCCCTTGTCATATCACTCACATCTACCATTGTACTCTTTTCCTTTTTCTACTTAACTTTTTTCTCTTCTGCCTGTTACTTTCCTGAAAGAAAACAAGCATATCATTTTATGGTGAAACAAAAACCAAAAAAAAAAAAAAAAAGCCACAACATAAAATCACACAAGCATTAATATCCAGAGAAGCTGAATAACAAGAATCAAAGAAGTAAACTTTATCAAATTTCCTTGGATCTATTCAGGATCATTAGCCATGATTTTATGTTTTTCTGATTCTGGACTGGTGAATTTCCTGATCTATCTCCTTATACACTGCCTTCAGTGTTGCTATTTTGTTTGGAGGTAAATGCTACTTGTACCTACATTCTTCAGTCACAGTAGTTGTAGGCACATGTGAGGAATGGTTATTAAGTGATCATTGTTATTCTTTCTAAAACTTCCAGTAAAATCGCACCTGAGGATGATTTTGTGAAGGTGTTACTCTCAGGAAGGTGTGTGGAGTGGATCGTAATTCTCACATCTTTGCAATTGATTCTAATTCTAAAGCTGACTTTTGAATCTGCCCAAGAAGTTGATGAGAATTCTGATTTGATCAGCCACGTAAATGGAAGCTCACATGCTTCCTCCAAGCATGGGGCTGTCTGGGATGTCTAGTTAATCCCTTTGCACTTAAACTGTGTCTTCCTGCCAAGCCTTATGCAGAAAGAGGCTGGCTTCCAAGCTAGGGGAGGAGTTCAGTGCCCAGTGGGTTGGATCTGGAAGTAACTTTTAGCCTCCTAATAGCCTTGCCTGGAACAAGCCCATTCCACTGTCATCACTACTTTAGGTAAGGTTCTGAACAACCTAACCTTGAGCTCCCATATGTGACATGTGTGAATACTTTGTGTGCTAATTGTGGCATTATTTTTCAGAAGCAACATGATAGCAGCAATAGAGAAATGTACCAATGGTTGGATAATTAGCTTCACCTCTGACTCTGTTACTTCACTGTGACATTTGATAAGTCACTTGACCTCTTTGCTGCTATTCTTCCATGAGATCAGAACAGTTATACTTCTGTTAGAGATTACATAGCATAGAGTTTAATGATAAGAATTATAAAGCAGGCCGGCGCTGCGGCTCACTAGGCTAATCCTCCACCTTGCAGTGCCGGCACACTGGGTTCTAGACCAGGTCGGGGCACTGGATTCTTTCCCGGTTGCCCCTCTTCCAGGCCAGCTCTCTGCTGTGGCCCGGGAAGGCAGTGGAGGATGGCCCAAGTGCTTGGGCCCTGCACCCCATGGGAGACCAGGAGAAGCACCTGGCTCCTGCCTTCAGATCAGCGCGGTGCGCCGGCCACAGGGCGCCAGCCATGGCAGCCATTGGAGGGTGAACCAATGGCAAAAGGAAGACCTTTCTCTCTGTCTTTAACTCACTATCCACTCTGCCTGTCAAAAAAAAATTATAAAGCAGAGTGCCTGGGTTTGAGCCTCTATCATTTAAGAGATTTGTGTGATCTCATGCAAATTACTTACCTTCTCATCACATCTCTAAACAAAGAGATGAAAGATATAGTTATCTCATACCATTGTATGAAGACCAAGTTAGTTAATATGTGGAAGGTACTTAGAACAATGGCTGGCACAGAGTTTCCCTCAAACAGTAGTCAGTTACTTTCAGTGACAATACCTTGCAGAGACTAAAGAAGATGGTAGATGAAAAGGCGGCTGTGAGCACTGGTGCTCTCTATCTCTCTTGCTCTCGCTGTTTTTTAAGGTTTATTTTTATTTATTTGAAAGGCAGAGTTAGAGGGAGAGAGACAGATCTTCCACCTGCTGGTTCACTCCCCAAATGGTCAGAACATGTGAGGCTGTACCAGGCCGAAGCTGGGAACCCAGAGCTTCTATCAGGCCTCCCACATGATACAAGGGCTGGCTCAAGTACTTGGACTGTCTTCTGCTGCTTTCCCAGGTGCATTAGGAGGAAGCTGGATTGTAAGTAGAGCAGTCAAGACATGAATCAGTGCTCAAATGGGATGCCAGCATTGCAAGTGGTGGCTTTACCCACTGCATCACAAAGCTGGCCCCCGAAGCCTTCTCTTATGCCACCTGGATCATGAGCTCTCTTAAAACCGGTCCCGAGGCTGTGTATGGGCTTCTTTGGCTCCTTGTACTTTGGTAACTATGAGAAGAAGGTTGAATAGGTAAGTGTTTCTTAAATGGGCCAAAAAAATATTCCATGCTTCATTTTTTCATCATTTTTAATTAAGGATTGAATGCTCATCATTATCACTTAAAAGTCAGAACTTTTTTAGTCTGTTGAAATTGCTTCCACTGAGGACTCGGATTATTGCCTAATTTTGCTGATTCTCTCTCTGCCAGCATTATGGAGTCTTCATGTGACGTCATGCAGACTTTGTGACTCTGCAGCAACTTTTAGTTCTGTATCTAAGCCTCAGCTCACCAGCATTTTTGGTGCAGGGTGAGATTACTTGGGCATAGAATGGTAGAGAAGAATCATGGAATAATGGAAGGAGGATGTGTTGATGCTGAGGGAAAGTCAATGTGTGCATGAGACCTGGGTTTGAATTCCTTGTCACTTCTTGGTGGTGTCATCTGAAGACATTCACCTGTTTTCTCTTCTTCAAGATGGCAGCATGACCCATGGTTTGGAGCTGATTAAATTTAACAATCACTCTGAAACACCAGCACAGTGCCTGGCACGCCTTAGTCACTTTAATGTCAGTTCCCTTCTCTTTTACAGGTCACCTGATATCATTCATCATGCTAATGACATGGATTTCATTTGTTTACATTTGGCATTTTGAATTACTAAGCAGTTCTTGCTGCAGAGGGAAGATTTTGTCTTTTAGCCAGCAGGTGGCAACCAAATTAAAGCTAAAAATTCACCTCATTGTGATAACAGATAAAACGTCGCCTTTTTCATGCTAATACGTGATGGAAATGACAGCTGAATGGGAAAGATTTGGCATTGATGTGGCGTCACCCCTGACTAAGGCATTTTTAACCCCAGACCCTTAGGTACAGAAGATCAGATTTCCCAAGGCTGCTTTGGATGGCAGTACCTGCTTGTCACTGTCATACACCTTCTCAGAGCTGTGTCAGAGGAATCATCCAGATTTATGCAACATTGTGTTTAAAATAATGAATCTATTCACTTGATTTGGCAGTTTCAAAAGCAGAGTGTAAAGTGAACTTATCAGTTGATGAAATGTATTTTATAACTGTTCTATTTTATTTTCAATCTGCTTTATGTAAAAACTTTTTTGGTGGATTGCTTACTGTGAGTTTGTGTGATGTTTTAAAAAACAAAAGACACCCTCTGAGAGACTAAACAGTCTATTAATAGGATATAACCTCTTGTAAACTCTGTCTTGAAGTCTTTTTTAATCTAGAAAGCATAGACAATATCATCACCTGTTGTTGTTAAAGTAGACGATTGATGTATGACAAGCACTTAGTATATGGTGCATGGCACATGGTGAGCAAGCAGAATAAATGATACCACTTAAACAACTTACATTATCACGAGTCCTTCAAAGTGCCCGTGGGGCAGGTGTTGGGTGCAGTGGTTAAGCCACTCCCTTCCCTAATGGAATGCTTGGGTTTGAGTCCAGGCTCTGCTTCCAGTTCCAGCTTCCTGGCAGCAGTTGGTGGCTCAGCTAGGTTGGTCCCTGCCACCCATGTGGGAGACCTGGACTGAGGTGTTTTTTTGTTTTTGTTTTTTTTTTTTAGATTTATTTATTTATTTGAAAGTCAGAGTTACACGGAGAGAGGAGAGGCAGAGAGAGAGAGAGGTCTTCCATTCGATGGTTTACTACCCAATTGGCCACAATGGCCGGAGCTGCACTGATCCAAAGCCAGGAAACAGGAGCTTCTTCTGGGTCTGCCACGTGGGTGCAGGAGCCCATGGTGTTGGGCCATCTTCTACTGCTTTCCCAGGCCATAGCAGAGAGCTGGATGGGAAGTGGAGCAGCCAGGACTCGAACCAGCACCCATATGGGATGCCAGCACTTCAGGCCAAGGCATTAACCCGCTGCACCACAGCGCCGGTCCCTGGACTGAGTTCTTGACTCCTGGCTTTGGCCTGATCCAGCCTCTCCTAATGCTGGCATTTGGGGGAGTGATCCTGAAGATGGAAGATCTCGCTGTGTCTCTCTGCCTTTCAAATAAGTGTAACTTTCAAATAATTTTTTTAAAAGTGGAAGGAATATGAGGCCTGTGTGATCTAACCATCTGTTTCTTTATTTACTGAAGAAATGGAGGTGTGGACAAGTAGTTGCACAATCTTACAGAACTGATCTGTTTCCCAGAACATCTGTTCTGGAAGCCAGAACTTCTAAAGCTGCTGGTTTTTCTCATCCTGATATCCTTGGATTCCTTAATATCCATGGCTGGAGGTGGATGGTGTAGAACCAGACTACTGAGGACCACCTGCCCTTTTTGCTAGGGACTGTGGGTAGGGTGCTGCGCATGGTAGGCACTGTGATGAATGTGTTTAGAAGAGGTAGGATGACTGTCCCACTATCATATGATGGGTGCTACTGACAGATTTTGAGAAAGTCAATCCTAAACAGCAGAGATAAACCCCTCACTCTCAGCTTCCTCTTCCAAAGCAAGTCCCTGCATGCCACCTTGTTCTCACCAAGGGACTGAGCCCATTAGCCACTGCACTTGATACAGGGGTACGTTTAGCGTCACACACCTGTCAGGAATGCATGTTGCAGGGTGAAAAAGAGCTCACTTGCTGCAGCTACTATCCTGCAGCTCCCTTAGAATGATTGGCAGTTTTCTTAAAAGGCCTTCTGAGGAGCTGGGGACCAGAGAAGCGTTTTCCCTCACGATTTAGTTTGCTGCTTACCTCTCTCGGTCATGCGGCTTCTCCAGAAGTCAGGGATTTTTGCTCTTGCGTCGGTCTGTGACTGTAACCGTCATATCCACAGAAGCTGCCAATGCGTGAAGTGCGCTTGCGCACACTGTCAGTGAAAGCCGTGCCGTTGATATACCCTAGACTCAGGATACGGGAGCCAAAGGGAGTGCACAGGTCCCCAAGAGCCGCGTAGACTTTTATTCTCAAATCAGAAAGGTCAGGCAGATGTCGCTGGGCCGCCGCATCTCCAATGGCCACGCTGACACCTGGCGGAGATCACACTGGGTTGTTGAAAATGTTCAAAACCCAACAGAAACAAACTCAGGCGATGGTGGTTCAAAGCTAGAAGCAAGGGGTTCACACTCCCTCTCACGTTCTCATGCATCACCTGTGACACATTTTTTTTCTTCTTGAGATTTTACATGTTTGTGTTCTCCCTGACTCAGGTCTTTGTAAAATTGATAAGACTTGAATTTACCACAATTTCTGGGATTCATGTTTCAGAGGAACGATGAGAACAAAGACTAACTCCAGGAGATATTTCAGGTTTTCCATGGAAGAGAGATTTGATTGCCTTCTCAAAGATGCTCAGTGGATCCCAAATGGATCACTGCCTGTTGCCCCATAAACTGGGGGGAAGGATCCTGATTACAGGAATTATTTTTTTTTTTTTTCTGAGCCAGATACACCAGGTAAAGAAAGCACAATGCATGTTTCTGGTCCTGGAATAATTTCAGGAAGCCAAGTTAATAACATCTCTAACGTCTGGGATTCATAAAGCTAAAGTCTTCTAAAATTAGATACTTGTAATTTATAATTAAGCTTAATTACAGTTGTTGATTACTGATGAAAGTGGTAGTTTCATGCTGTACTGTGCAGTACCGTGGGCTTGGTGTTCTCCCGCTGCATTTTTGTTGTAGGCTGTGCTCCGACACTCGGGAAGATAAAGACAGGTTGTGGCTGTTGACAGATTCGTCAGTTGTAATGCTGCAGTGATTCTGGTTTCTTTAGGAGAGCAGAAATAAAAGAGTAGACTGAAAATGATGATTTTCTGTCCTCTTTCAGAATGTGCGGTCGACGTGACTTGCCTTTGCTGGGATGTATAGAGTTGTATTAACAAAGATGGATTCAGTGCAGCAGCTTATTCTTTTTTTTTCTTTTTTCTTTTTTTTTTTTTTTTTTTGACAGGCAGAGTGGACAGTGAGAGAGAGACAGAGAGAAAGGTCTTCCTTTTTGCCGTTGGTTCACCCTCCAATGGCCAACCGGGACTAGAACCCGGTGTGCCGGCACTTCTAGGTGGAGGATTAGCCTAGTGAGCCATGGTGCCAGCTTAAGCGGCAGCTTATTCTTATTGGAAACTTCCAGCATTTATCAACCAAAAAGCAAATCTAGCAGGGACCTAAGTTGGCTTCATTTCTCCATGGTGTTGTTCTCTACTGTGGGAAGCAGGGCTCTCGAGGTCCTTGTGAGCTTGGCCAGATCAGTGGCATCTGCTTTGGCAACAGCGCCTGAGAGACTTGTACCTGATCTTATATTGAGAGTGGTGACATAGTTGGGACTTTCTGTTCTCAAGGAACATGTAGTGCTCGGAAGTCTCTCTCGTGGAAAGGAGTTGGCAGAAAGACCAATAACTTCAGTATAACATGATAGTAGTGGAATAAAAGGCCAGACATATTCCACAGGTATATGCTATAGGTACATTATTATATGTGGAAGCGCTGTTCATACTTCAGTAATCGTGCCTTTTGAGAGGGTCCTACAGAAGAAGTTAATAGCTACTTCCTCCCTGTCAGAAATAGAGACTTTGACTTCTTAAAATGCTAGGGTAATGTGTACGCTTTAGCAGCACATGTTAACTAAAATATCTGAAAGAACAGCCTCAACCGGAGAGGGAAAGCAAGCAGGCAGGCAACCGATTTGTTGTATCTGATTCTGATCCGAGAGGATTTAGTTACTAAGACCAAATGTGACCTCTGGGAAGGAACGGCCCAACTTTGGAAGGGTTCTATTTTATGGAGCTAGGAGTTACGATGATGGGGTTGCAATAACAACATTATAACTTTGACACATGCAGAGTCTGGAAATATTAATAGCTTCCTGTTTGCCTTAAAAGGTAACAGCAGCTTAGCCTAGAGAGAGTATCCAGAGCACTTGTATGATTAAAGTATGAATCCATAGTATTTCCTTTGTCAAATGTAAACAACCAAGAAAGTACCTCATTTGATGGAAAGATCTGAGAGTGTTTGGAATGTCGTAGCTCTGGTTGCTTCTGCGTTGTGCTGCAAGTTTTCAGTGATGACACAGAACAACACCAATGGGCCTGGGACTGGGACTTCTATCTGTGCAGTAATGCTTCTTTCTGAGTAGATGCTGTGAGCAGCACGCCTTAGTGAAAAAACAAAAGGATAGACTTAGACTCAGGAGACCTGGGTTCAAATCCAAGACCTCTGGCTCTACCTCTTCCAAATTATTTAATCTTTCTGTCTTCTCATTTGTCAAACAGAGGCAAAGTGGCAAGGATTAATAATTAAAAAAATAGTTCAGAGTAACATGTAATTGGCATGTTCATAAACGCATTTTTTTTTTCAATTGAGGCATTTAAGAATTTGGTTCTACTAGCTTTTTGCAAGTTTATTATTTCATCTCATATTATCAATGTACCACTATCAACTAACACAATGCCTGGCGCTAGGGAGTGTATGCTAGAAGTATTTGCTGAATGAATAAACTGGTGAGTGGCCAAGAAATACATCCTAATAGAAAAAAAGCATAAGCATATGGACTGTTAATACTTATGCCATGGATGATGTGTGGGGGCCAGCTCAGTGACTCTCACATTAATCCAGGAAATGGCGAGGTAAGAGAAAAATCCATGACTATCAAAAAGTAGTTCGGGATTTTCTTCTGTGATTAATTAAAATTTGCTGCCTCAATTGATGGGACAAAGAAGTGGCTTTGATGTCCAGAAACAAATGACTGCGTTTCTAACCTAAGTTGGCTAGGCTACCATAAGTTCACCGGCTGCTACTAAACATAAATTTGAAAGGAAGCAAATGCAAAGTCAGGTGTTTATCAGGTGGTCTCCAGGGCTTCCTTAGGGATTTATGCAAACACCAGGATTGGCTCAGTAAAAATGCTAAGATGTGGGTCAGCCAAGAGGCTGTCCCAGAGTCTGTCCAGGAGTCCAAAAATCAAGCCAGGAAACTTGACAGGTACAAATAGTGACATCACAGCCCGGAAGCATCCAAGCTGGGGCAGGCCCCAAACCCCTCCCCACCACAGACTGCCGTGCCACTCTGAGAAGCAGTGAGCCATCTTAAAAGACAATGAAGGTTAAACAAAGAAATCTAGGGCTGCCTTGGAGATGAGTGTTTGGCCAAGTTGAGACCCCTGCAGGCCATGTCAGAGTGCCTGGGTTTGAGTTTTGCCTCCCGCTCCTGATTCCAGCATCTTGGCGATGTGCATCCCAAGGCAGCAGGTGGTTGCTATGATAGTTGAGGTCTCTGTCACTGTTGTGGGAAACTTGGATTGAGTTCCTGGCTTTGGCCTTGCCTGGCCCTGGCCATTGCGGGAGTTTGGAACCAGCAGATAGGCACCCTCCTTTCCTGTGTCTGCCTCTGTGTGTGTCTCTGTCTCACAAATAGTTTTCGAAAAACGACTGCTTTGCTTTTGAAGTCATTATTTGAGTGTAAAAACAGATGAGGAGGTAAGTTACTACCTGCAACTAACTCGACTTCTGAGTTTGCCAGATTTGTTCTCTCTACAGAAGAATTGACTGCTTCATGCTTAGTATGCCCTCTTGCCTTTGTAGTCTGCTATCTCGTAAGTTGAGCTCTTGGTTGCTGGTTTTTTTTTTTTTTTTTTTTTTTTTTTGTAACATTGCTTGTCTCTCAAGGTCAAGATAGTGCCATTCCTCTAGCAGTTAAAAAAATGTGTTTTATAAATTATTGACCAAATAAATGTCCCTAGTGGTATCATTGGTGAAAGATTTTGATTACCTGGTAAATCTTGAAAGAAAGAAATTTGTAACTTTTTACAATTTCAAAATTGATTCATGTAGTCATTCTGGTGCTGTATTTAATTGATTGGAAGATGTTTACTTGTTTCATTTGCATTTGAACATCACTAAAATCGAGGTACAGTTTACAATTGGTGGTGTTCATAATATTTTTGGTAGTATTTTTTTCTTTATCACCAGTTAATTTACCAAAAACTGAGTGGTGGTTCTAACAAGGGATGATTTTCATAGATTTGGTAAATAATCATAGCCGTACAAAACCCACGTTAACTTTGGTGCTGTGTTCACAGGATAGACTAATGAGACAAGCAAGGGTTTTTGAGTCAGATTTTATTTTGAATCCTGGCTCTTCTTTATTATATCTATTTAATTTGTGCAAAGATTTTGCTCTGCTGTTAATATTGAGTTGTTGTAGTCTTGTCGATACAATGGAAATAAAGCATTCATATATATCAGCACTGTGTACACATTCATTTATCAGAATCCAATGAACACTTACTTGTTTCTTTTGTTCCCTCTACCCCTGAGCAAACCTGTATGTACCTTAGAGCAGCCTGTTAGATAGGATCGTGTCCTCTCTGTTTTGCGGATTCAGAAACAGAGGCTTAGCAGCATGAATGAGTTGAGACAGGAACCTCCCCAGGGCCTTTACTTTTAGCGTATTCCCCAGTGTTCCATTAGACTTCTCACATGCAACCTCTGACATAGGCGGGAGTTTAGCTACTCTTTTCTTGGTAAAGGTTTCCTTAGGCAGCCAATGGAGCAGTTTTACATAATAACTCAATAACAATATCATTCACTGTATCCTATCTGGAAAGGATTTTACCTCTTGCCCTCATCCTGTAAACAAGGATGGGCCTCTATTTAAAGTAAAGGGAAAAGGAAGAGGGAAGAGGATATTATATCACCTGGCCTAGCAGTTTGGGGAGCAGATGTTTTCCTTGCCTCATTGTTCACAGAAGATTGGTTCAAGATGGTATAAACCATAAGTTGAAAAGTGCTGGAATCCAGAAATCAATTCATAGTGTTCTTATGCTTGGATAGAACAAAGCTATGAGGATGGATTGAAAATTAAAGATCAGTGTGAAAACCTTAGAGCTCCGTGTCGACACAAAAGCAAGTTATCAGCATTGTACTGTGATAGAGCAATAGGTAGTGGATATTAATCCTTCAGGCCTTAAATATCCCACGTGGAATCATGGGTAGGTGCTGTGGATGCTGCTTTTATGATATCTCAGTCTAGCCTGAACATTTTCAATTACAAAAATTTCCTCTTTTTCTTTGCTCTTAGAATTTCTATTTAGTAATCACATTTTAATTAGGTGGCACATGGGTCAAGTAACAAAAATAGATTTATTTCAATAAAAAATATTATGAAGCCTAAAGGAAGAAGCGGTGGGTACCTGTGGTTCTCAAGTGTAGTTAGGTGTCTGAGGCTCACCTGTTTCCAGACTGCCGAGGCCTAGATGTATGATGCGGTGCAGTTAATTCACTGATTGATCACCTTCAAGCTTTAGCAAGTCTGTATCTCAAATTGGAGATCAAGAGAAAGTCCTTAAAAGCATCTAGCAAGTTTACTTTCTCATGTTTCTTTTTGACTCTCTCTCTAACCACTTATCCTGATTGAAAGCTTAGATTGGTTGAAATAGATCTGAAATTTTATGGACCTCAGAGGT